TGCTCCTCTGATGCTGCCTGACCTGCTGTGTTCCTCCAGCTCCACATTGTATGGACACTGACTCCCAGCATCTGCAGTTCTTACTATCTCTTAAAGATGTGGCATATTTTGTTCACAAGTCAAAAACTGTTCTCAACTGTAAAATGGATTCGGAGCAAAGGAAGCATGTTTCCACACGATAATCACTAGAGACTGGGCAACACTCGTTTCGTTAGGTAAGCAAATACCATAACTTCTCAGAAGTGCTAACTTCTTCATGTTCACTTGATATAATGCGTCATCCATTACTCACTCTTTTGGAAGGTTCAAAGAGAATTTCATTCAGTTAAAATTACACAGCAATCATAAGAAATTGGAGAGTATTGTTTCATGTGATGGCTGATCAGAATCTAGACTGAATCATGAGTAAATAGATGCTCGAGAAAACATCGGGTACCATCTAATTAGTGGCCACAGCGCTGAAATACGTTCAGAATTCGGTCGTTATGGTGAAGAATGGAAGAAACCCCCAAGTTTTCACCAGTGCTTCCGTGCAAAGAAAATTTTAACAACGTCATTTTTCTCCAAGCCGAAAGTAGTGAAATGGGTCAGTTTTACAAACCAGTTATATTGTCCGTTTGAGCGCGGCGAAACACCCCACAGCGCAAAATTAGTTTCTCTTAAAGGTGTAAAACCAAATCTTTAAAAAAAACTAGTAGCATTGTGTCTAATCAAAGACTAGATTTAAAAAGTAAAAATAGGGTGTTAATTCAGACACGCTGGATAACATTGTAAACATGATTTGACAACGGTTACATAAAGTGCATTTCAGAGCAAAGCACTGGACATTTTTTTCTACTGTCCTTCTGTGGAATAATGCAGAAACTTCAATTACATTAACCAGCATCATCGCATCGCTCCCACACTCGCCTTCGATTCTAGTTAAAAAAGTTTGAGGGGATGAACAATTGACATGAAGTCAATCTCATTTTTCATAAACCCAGGTAAAAGTTAAAACAAAAGCATGCCATTAAGTCAGGTAATGGGTAGGTTCCCAGTTGACAAGTGTTACGCTGAGCTGCTTGCGTCAAATGAAACGATCAGCCTGATCTCAATCTTACACATTGTCGGCAACCAGTTTATCCCTCTTACATTTACAGACACTGGTAACGATGTGCACTTACGCTAGATAATCTCTAAAACGATAGGAACGTTTATGACATTGGTTAGATTAACAGATTAGATAAAATGCTAATACTGGTTACTACAAAATAAGATGTCCGCTTAGTTCTTGCTCACCTATCCGGTGATGACTTAGACCACAACCGGTCTTGATTACATAGCACTTTAATGTATCAAATCAGTGACCATGAAGTCTCAAGCAACACAACGTTATTTTCCTAACTGGATGAAATGTTACTACAATGAGACAGCACAAAGTGAGTATTGTAACCTATTTTACAAACGCTCAGGCGATCAGGTAAAACACTGCCTTACCTGAAGCTCACACCAGGCGACCTCCAGCCATGTCTCTGTGTCCAGACCCTTGTAGACAGTTTTGAAAGAGCCCCTGCCAAGTTCAATATCAAACTTTAGAAACCTGCCATCGGGTGAAGTGGCGACCGCTTTCATCTCGGCTTCTTCTTCGTTCTCCTCACTCTGGGACTTGGAAAGGTCTTTGGAGTTATCCGACGGCTCTTTGGATGCGCTGTCACCCGCTTTACTTTCCTTCTCTTCGTCGGCGCTGACACTCTCGGTGGCGCTACCCTTCTTGCCGGCTTGGCTCTCGGTGCTGGAGCCTTCGGCGGCCGCTTCCACTCGCAGTGCTCTCAGCGCCATGCTCTGCGGCTCGGCTTCTGGCCTGTCCACCGACAGCGGCACCGAGAGCGGGACGATCCGGCGGACAAACCGCTGAGTGAGTCGCGGGTAATCCTGGGCGAGCGGATTCAGGCCGGGGGCCACTCTCCTCCTCACCATCAGCACTGCAGAGTCCAGAGCTGCAGCCTCCTCCTGCCGCCCGCTCTTCCCGCCGAACTCGGGGTCATTCCCGGCGCCAGCGCCGACCGCAGACACCACATCGCCGGCGGCGGCGTCTGCCTTCCCAGCTCCGGTCTTGTCACTCACTGCGGCGGCGGTGGTGGTGCTGGTTATCCCCATCAGCCCCGGCTTCCTACTCACATCCTCCTGAGGATCCATCTCAATATGTGCGGAGACTAAAAAAAAATAAATAAATGACCAAACTGAAGACACCAGGGATGGCACCTGATAAACGATGCCTCGCTGCAAAGAGCGCAGCCCCGACTGACGCAGCTCCCTCCCCTCACATCCCACCCCCCCCCCCCAAAAAAAACCCCACCCCAGGCCGGACCAGGCCGCCCCCTCCTCTCTAACTACCAACACCCCGATCCCGGCACCGACAGAACCCCTCCCCGCCCCCGAAAGACGCCTTCGCACAACAACCCCGAGCTGCAACTTGATCCATTCAGGGAGGGGGGGGGGGAGGTGAAGCAGCAAAATCCGCCCCGCGCCGGGTCCTCACGAACGCTCCGACAACCCCCACCGTCCCCGTCCCCGTCCCCCTTTCTCTCTCCCTCTCTCTGAACACCAACCAACGCCGACAGCCGCGCGCTGCGGGAGGCCATGCATGCGCGCGCGCGTACGCCCGCGGCGCCGTGACATCAGCAGCAGCGCGTTCGCGTCGGGCCGCTGGACAGCGCAGCGGGGACTGTTCTCAGGTGGTTTCATTCAGGTACGAGGTTGCTCCACCCGTAGCACGGATACTCTTTTTCGATGGCGTTCAGCTCAGTTGGCTGGACGGCTGGGCTGGTTTGCGATGCAAGTTATTGCTTGAGTGCGGGTTCAGTTCCCGCCCTGGTTGAAATTAGCATTGTCGGTGATGAAGGGTCTCATAATGATGCTGCAGCTGCTGGAAATCTGAAATGATCGCAGAGAACGTTGGAGGAACTCAGCAGGTCTATCAGCACCTATGGAGACAGAAAGAGTTGCTACTTCGAGTGCAGTATGATTCTTCTTTGGGGAAACTGGAGAAATCATACAGGACACGAAATGTTAGCGTTAATATGATGCAGAGATGAACTGGCATTAACGAATTCGAAATCATAGCAGTGTTGTTTGTGTAATTTGGACAGTGAATACCCTGGAGTACCCAACAAACGATAATAGATTTCCTAACCGTGCAGTCAGAGAGCTTGGATGCATTTTTAAATTTAAAAAAACTAACTGCATCATTATCACACTAAAATCACAGAGTTTCATGTCCTTCAAATTTTATAGAGGTAATGTCTCTGTTAACTTTTCATTTATTTCACACTGAACTATGAATTGTGTTGTTATATTCACATCTCTGCTCAAAAGTAGGTCCAATCTTCAGTGCCACAACATTCAAACTGGTAATAAAAACAAAACAAAAACAAACAGGAAGGAAATTAACAACAAGGGTACACCAATTGGCTACAAAAAGGCACGACCAATACTCACTCATCTCTATCCACATGGATAAGGAGAACCACCAATTCGACTGGGACGACACCAAGATCCTGGGACGACACCAAGATCCTGGGACAAGCAAAGTAGAGACAAGCACGGGAATTCCTAGAAGCCTGGTACTCCACGAAGAAAGCTATCAACAAACACATAGAGCTCGACCCCATATACACTCCACTGCGAAGGAAAACCGGAAGTGAGGTAATCCAGCTCAACGGACTTCAGACTTTAAATAACAAGTGGGCAAACACAACGGCACTTCATCGGAGGCTGCACTGATGATGTTACCCAGCAGGGTAATGAAACGTCTGCAGAAAAACAACAAACCAGCTCAGCGAGCCAACAAACCAGCTCAGCGAGCCAACCAACCAGAACATCCACAACCCAAGCTACAAGTCTACTCTAAAACCTTATTAGAAACAAAATGCTGTAGATGCTGGCAGTCTAAGCAAGCACAGAATGACGGAAGAGCTCAGAAGGTCTAGCAGCATCTGTGGAGAGAGAAACAGAGTTAATGTTTCAAGTCCAGAATGACTATTCTTCAGAACTCTCCACCATGGGTTAGGCAAGGAGGCAGATACTAAATCACCCTAGCTAGAAAGCACCAACATGTTCCATCATCTAGCTAGCTAAGGCAACTGACACTCCAAAGAGACCAACTTGCTGTGAGAATATAAAGAACATAAAAAATAGGATCAGGAATAGGTCATTTAGCCCCTACCATTCAACAAAATCATGTACAACCTGTCCCAGGCCTCAATTCTTCCTTCGTGCCAGCTCAGCATTAGCCTCAACTCTCAAATCAAAAATTCTAACTTCTTCCTCTTTAAATACTTTCAGTGATTTAGCCACCAAAACAAATCTCAGCAGGTCTGGCAGCATCTGTGAAGAAAAGATCCGAGTTAACGTTTCGGGTCCGGTGACCCTTCTTCAGAACTGGAGGCAGTCACTGAGGAATGTGATGTGGCTGTGGAAACGAGTTTTAGCAAATACTTGGTCAAACACCAGGACTGACAGTGAAATTAATGTCAGTGGACAAGAAGATTGGAATAGAAATACCTTCGGAGAGAGGAGCAGAACTTCTTCAAGGTGGGCATGCCTAGAAGAGATATGGCAGTGAGTTAAATACTAAATAAAAACCAAAAGAACTGCGGCTGCTGTAAATCAGGAACAAAAACAGAAGTCGCTCGAAAAGCTCAGCAGGTCTGGCAGCATCTGTGAAGAAAAAATTAGAGTTAATGTTTCAGGTCCAGTGACCCTTCCTCAGAGTTCTTTTGGTTTTTATTTAGCCACCAAAACAGTCTGGATGAGAGAATTCCAGACATTCACTCTGGGATATGTTCCTTTGCCTCTTGGTTTTAAGTGAGTATCCCTTATTCTGTGACTATGTACCCTGGTTTGAAATTCCCCCACTAGTGGAAACAGCTTCTTAACATTTAATCCCTCCTTGAATCTTGTTAAGTTTCAATATGATCATGCTTTATTCTTCTAAACTGTAATGAATAAAGGCCCAACCTGTTTCGTTGTTTTTGATAAGTCAAGCCCTTCATCCCAACAATCAGCCTAGTGAATTGCTTTTGAACTGCCAACACTGCTAAGACATTCTTTCTTAAATATGGAAACCAAAACTCTACACATTAGTTCAGGTCACAAACACTCTGTACATTTATAACAAGACTTCTCTATTTTTAAATTCTAATCCCTCACAATAAAAGCCAAAATTCCATTTGCCTTCGTAATTACTTTTTGTGTTTCGTACACAAAAACACCCAAATATCTTTGAGATTCACTTTATTGAAGTGTCATTCCATTTAAACAATAGTCTGCCTTTTTTATTCTTCCTACAAAAGTGTATGACCTCACATGTTCCAACATGAAACTCCATCTGCCAAATCTTTGCCCATTCAACCAACCTCTCTATAACCTCTTGCAGATTTCTTATACCCTAATTGCTATATGTCCTTCTATCTATTTTTGTATCATCTGCAAATTTGAATACATTACACTCTGCCCCTTCTCCAAATCATTAATGTACATTGTAAATAATTCAGACCCTAGATCCTTGCGGCAGTCTACTAGTTGTGTCTTTCCAACCTGAAAAAGACTTATTAATTATGACTCTTGTGTTTTAATCCATCCTCAAACCATGCTAATACGTTTTCCCCAATTTTATGATCTCCTATCTTGTGCAATAACCTATTATATGACAATTGAATGCCTTCTTGAAATACAAATACACTATATCTACCAGTTCCCCCTTTTCAACACTGTTTGTTACATCCTAAAGAATTCTGGCAAATTTGTTAAATGTTTTCCCTGTCACAAAATCATAGTAACTCTGTTTGATTGTGTTGAGGATTGTGTCCGGTTATATCTTCCTTAATAATGGACTCCAGCATTTTCCCAATGATAGATGTTAGGCTAACTGTGGTTTCCAGTCACAATTACAAATTTACATGCATGTTGTAGACTGAAGCTATAGATAGTTTTAGTAAAGGCTCCAGTTCATTTCAAATGCATGGCTGACCAATGATCTCTCTCAATCTTAACACTTTTCGTTAGCATATTTTGGAAGGATTTATAAGTCAATATTCAAACTGCTTTTCTGCACTGTGAATGTACCTACTTTGCCCTCAAGTCCTGGAGTGGGTCTTGAACTTGGAGCTTCCTATTCTGAAATAGGGATTCTACCACTCTGTCAGAAGACCACCATTATTGTTATAAACATTCATATTTTCACAGTCAATACACTCTATAAATGACCAACTGACAATAAACACTTATTTACAAGCACTTAAATAAAAGCAGTTTGACTATCAACTTATAAATCCTTCCAAATATAAATCTTGCAATGTCATATGCAACTTGTTGTTAAATCTATATTTAATGCACTAGAAACAGTTGATATTTAATGAACTAGTTCTAATGAGAAGGCTGAGGCTTGAGGGAAATGCCAAATTACTCTCATGGAACATAAACAGCCAGGACAACATGAGAGGAAGTGTGCAGAAAAGAGTTAAATCTGGTTTAATGCTCAAACTTGCATTTATTCATAACAATAAAATTTAAATCTTGTACATTCTTCTGATTTTTCTTAATTTCTGCCCAGATGCCACCTTTCCATTATTTATCCATACCTTCAATATCCAAAAATGAACTGAGTCAGTGGGGACAATATTCTGGGTTCACATTGCAGTGAGTCACATCCATATGTTGCAAATATTGGGAGATTATTCTGTACCACCATTGTTTCCATGCCACAAATTCTCAGTCATTCATGAAAATATTCGCAAAATTGTAGTTTGTGTCAATTAAAACAAGAAGTTAAAAATTATGCTTCGTGAATTTTAGCAGAATGTCTAACCATGACAGCAAAGACTGCCATTGCTAACATCCTCTATCCTTTCAGCAAAGGCCACTGACTTGAAATTAGCCAACCCTGAGTATGAAAAGTAATTGTCAGCTCCCTCTTACCATCCTCAATTAGATAAAATAATTAAACACAATCCTGAGTTTTCCTTGTTCTAGCATCCTTAATTGCTCAGAATTTTGAAACTAATAAATGTGAAGTGTTAAGACTGACAAGCATTCCCGTTTTACAGAAATACCAAAGGTGTTAAGAACATGAACTTAATAATATGAAAAATTGTAACCTCATAAATATTTGGCAGGTTTAAATGAGTTGATTGACTTTAGATAAGCATAAGTAAACAATTCAAAGTGCTAGAAATGGATTGAAGTGGATAATTTAGGAGAACAAGAAGTAGTAAATTTGGATGATAAGTGTTAGTCACTGGATAATGCAAGTGATATTGACTGATTAGTGACCATCCACAGCAAGTTGTGAAATTCTTTTCAATAAATTCATAATTTTGCATTGACACCAAATAAATTAAGTGTGTTCGAGAAACAGTTTGACAGATTAGCTGAGGTAGAGGCATGAAGAAAGGTGGCTGTAAGATGGAGCTGGGTAACACAGAGTACTTGTAGGTATTAATGTTGAGTTTTTAGGTCATGTCACTGAGGAGAACCATGAGAATGGAAAGAAAAGGGGGCTAAGAATAAATCTTTAAAGCACAACAGAGGTACTGGTGTGATAGAGCAAGAAGAGAAGACATGGCAGACTGGCTAGGATCAGATAGATATGAATGGAACCACATTAATCAAGTTCCAACTGGCTGAATGACCATGGATGGTT